ATTTTGGGAGATTTAGTTTTTCCTTTTCCTATCTATTTTTCATTGGGAGGAGAATATGACATTGTAGATAATAATCAGTAATGAATAAAAATAATGTGAGTTAGAATGAGGACACAATCAGACTCCCGATTTCCAGTCAATCTTGTTGATAGGAGCCTGTTGTGCCACACAGTATATGTACGGAAACGTCAGAACCTTTAAACTGAGTTATCATAGTGAGTTATTTTACTGCATGAGCCACTCCTAACACAATAAATGTTCTGAAAACGGTTGCACAGACTTCTGTAATTAAGTGAATAAAAAACATTAATTGATTATACTGAATGGCCATATGCATTTCTCTGCATCTGTAAACATATTGAACAAATAAATATATTTTTTGGAGTGCTTAGAACCAAAGATCTGTGTTCCTAGTGCTGATAAGTGATTTAAATTGTAGTAGCATTAAGTTTCTGTAAAATCATGGTGACTTTTGTATGGAGCAGATACCGTTCAGTTGTTGAACAGGATTTCTGTGAAAATTGCCTGAATCATTCATAACGAGCTCCTTTTAATCAAAACGTGCATGTTGATGTCTTGTTAAACTTTGATGATTCTAATGCTTTGAGAACAATATGACTTTTGTAAAAGATTTTACAGTAAGGTTAAAAGAATATTTTGAAATCCTCTGAATCAGCTTTATATTTTTAAAAAATTAATTCATCATAAGATAATTAATTCCTTGTAAGACAATTTATTCTTTGTAGTTTGTCTATCATTTGTATTCTGAGACAGATTTTTAGATTGCTAAGGACAAGCTCATAATAATGAAAAGGTAATAGTTAACTTTTACTTTTTTCCTTTACAAATGTTTTCCTAACTGGAGCATGAGACGTCCAGTGGAAGGTATTCAATGGAATTCTTCTCCTAAAACTTCTGTCAGACTTAAATTTTCTATGTTCATTAAAAGAATATGATTACAGAGAATCATTTAAATTATGGTTTGTTAATATAAAGATAACTTCTTGATTAGAGACTTCTAACTTTTGGTTTGCAAATAGAAACAATTCCCTTGGAATAAACTGTTACTTTAACTACTGAAAATTTGTTTAATGTGAGAAATAAAGAC